TTGAGGCAGCAAAACTGACGAGTGGGTTGATGGCGGCGGGGTTTTGTACAAAAACTATGGCACGTACAATACTCAATTTATATATCAATAAATATACCGCCGACGTAAGTATGTAAGTAAATTTACATTACGAAACATGAAACGAAACCAACGATTAGGGCAAAATTCCACGATTTATGCGTTTTTTAGTTTCGTCTGAAGAAATACAGCATTTCGTCCGAACNATATTCTTCCCCCAATACATGTACTTGTAGGTACTTACAGTTTCGTCCAAAGAATTCACGGAATTTTGTTCTGCAAGACTGCAATCCATATTCCAACAAAACAAAATACCAAAAACCACCGAGTGCTTGTGAGATGTTGTGTTTGTTATAATCGTTGAGGCAGCAAAACTGACGAGTGGGTTGATGGCGGCGGGGTTTTGTACTAAAACTATGGCACGTACAATACTCTATTTATGTATCAATAAATATACCGCCGACGTATGTAAGTAAGTAAATTTACATTACGAAACATGAAACGAAACCAACGATTAGGCCAAAATTCCACGATTTATGCGTTTTTTAGTTTCGTCTGAAGAAATACAGCATTTCGTCCGTCTTCATTTTCATTGTGCACACACAAATTATCGTTAAATCCAATTTAATTGCACACACTGCACTTTTACTGGCTACTTGCTACTTCTTACGCTATGCAGTTCATATCAACCAGTCAGTCAGTCACAGCTGGGCTTCGCGTATCCGGCAGAAGAGTTGGGACAGGGTGCCGCTATTGCGTGGGTGGCGCAGGTATTACTTGCAGTGCCACTTATCGCTATGCCGCTATAAGCAAACGGCGGCTACACAACACTACTGACATATGTAAGTACATACATACACACATGAATACATATGCATGTGTGTATGAAAGTGTGTATTCATGCGAGTTTTTCGGTTCCGTTTCGTTTGTGCAACTACTAATTTCCTACGCCGCTGCCTACGCATACATTTGAATATACTTATGTATACTTGTAAAAACACACCNACGATTTATGCGTTTTTTAGTTTCGTCTGAAGAAATACAGCATTTCGTCCGAACTCATTTTCATTGTGCACACACAAATTATCGTTAAATCCAATTTAATTGCACACACTGCACTTTTACTGGCTACTTGCTACTTCTTACGCTATGCAGTTCATATCAACCAGTCAGTCAGTCACAGCTGGGCTTCGCGTATCCGGCAGAAGAGTTGGGACAGGGTGCCGCTATTGCGTGGGTGGCGCAGGTATTACTTGCAGTGCCACTTATCGCTATGCCGCTATAACCAAACGGCGGCTACACAGCACTACTGACATATGTATGTACATACATCCACACATGAATACATATGCATATGTGTATGAAAGTGTGTATTCATGCGAGTTTTTCGGTTCCGTTTCTTTTGTGCAACTACTAATTTCCTACGCCGCTGCCTACGCATACATTTGTATATACTTATGTATACTTGTAAAAACACACACACGCAAATAAACGTTTACAGTCTGGCATACACTTAAGTACTTAAAAATGCAATAGTGGATTTAATTTTGTAATTTCCTTGTTTTTCGTCTGCACTTTAATGTTATTTTTTTTCACACATTTATGTGCCGCAGTTCCCGTTGCTGTTGGCAGCACTTTTTTGGGTGTAGTTCGTCGTCTATTTGTATATGTTTGCTTTTGCCTTTTCTTTATCCTACTCTAGCTCAATATACTTTTTACTTTTGCCATTTATCTCTCGTATTCGGCANAAAATGCAATAGTGGATTTAATTTTGTAATTTCCTTGTTTTTCGTCTGCACTTTAATGTTATTTTTTTCACACATTTATGTGCCGCTGTTCCCGTTGCTGTTGGCAGCACTTTTTTGGGTGTAGTTCGTCGTCTATTTGTATATGTTTGCTTTAGCCTTTTCTTTATCCTACTCTAGCTCAATATACTTTTTACTTTTGCCATTTATCTCTCGTATTCGGCGCATATGTATATATATTCATAAATGCATTCTTCTTCTCCTTCTTCCGCTTTATTTAACTGGCGTTCTTCACTCGTTCTTCGTCGACTTGTTCGTGGCTCACCCTCCCACTCTCTCTTCTGCGATTTCTACTCCAATCGACCACAATGTACTCGTACTACAGCAAGGTCCCCCGTTCAACTTTATCTTTGCTTACTATACAACAACATACATATATTGCACTGCTTCCTCTTCTTCGAACTCCCACTCAGCTGCAATTCACTTCACTCGCCGCTGTCGTGCTTGACGTCGTTATCGTTGTCGTTGCCGTCACCGTCGCCTTTATCGTTTACGCACTTCCACTTCACTGTGTGGCGCGTCCCGCATGCCTCACTGCACTTTTCCCACCCACTAATTTCTACTCTTTACGCTTCGCACTCTATTTCCTTCCTTTTCCTGCTTTAGCAGCAAAGCTACAGACTTCTAAAAAAAATTTTAAATTTTTTCGCACCTTTTTGTTAAAATTTCCTAAATTTTCTTTACTCTCAGGTGCACACAGTGCTACAACTACACAAATTTTAGTAAGATCCAATTGGTATTTATTAATTTTGTCAAATAATTTGTAATTGAAAATTTTCACTGAAAAATTTATGATTCAGCCGAACGCGATGGTGTCTGTATGAGAACGAACAATAGTTTGGAAGTTAAACGAGCTGTCCGAGCAAAAACCGCCGCCCCCACAAGCGCTGCACAAGAACTGAATAACCAGAAAAAGGAGAAATGGAAGTGGAGTAACATCCGTTGACAGCAATGGCAGCAGTGTAAGCTGTGTTAAATATCATTTACTCTGCGCGATAAGCTTTGTTTAGCTGGCGCTACATGTCCGCGATGGCACTAAACAACGCCGGAAGCTTCCATATACGGTAACTTGCCGCTGCTTGCTTTCCTTTTCAACTTAATTCTGAGAATTTGTGGGTATAAGCAGGTTTGTGTTGGTTTTTGGTTTGTTTGGTGAAGCGCCAACAGCCACAGCTACAAAAACCTGATAATGTTCTCCGAATTTGGATATACGGTGTCATTGAACTAAATCACTTAATTATTTTGGCACATGTTATTGCCGTTCTCCAAAATATTTGGAATTGGACTGCCTATGTGACGATTTCAAGCGGAAGCCACTAGCACAGAAGCAAAACTGCTAATGATGTCGCTTTTTTGGAAATTACGAACATTAAAAAGCAAATTTGAAAAATTTATGTGAGGCTGGTTTCAAGCTTCATAGTTGGACAAATAAGAACTACGGCCGCTGTAGCCGAGTGGTTAGAGGTGCGTTTTATTACTCCAAAGGACCTGGGGTTGAGCCCTGGTCAAAGCAATATCGATAAAAAAAA